TTAAACTTAAACCTACGATAAACTTTCCTAGCTTATAGCTCTATTCGATCATATTGCTTATTATGACTAATCAGAGCAAGAAGCTATACAATATCACTGATGCTATCTTTAAATTGTATGGAGAAAAAAAATTATCTGTCTTGATCTGAAAATCGTCTGCAGTGAAATTTAAAACAGAAGCTAGAGAGCTTAATCAATTAGAAAATTCCATTTTGTTCATCTCGCTCAAATGGTTCTTCATAGAGTTAGTGTTATTAGAAGTGTTAAGTTTTATTACAAATGTGTGAAAACAATCTACAGAAAATATGGTGGAATTAAAAACTAAGTTCAAGAATTATCAACTTTCAAACTTGTAGCATGTGAGCCAATCAATTGCCAACTTAAACGTGATTACAGAGTTGAAATTTAACGCTCAGGGAAGATAATTTTGATTTTTGAACTAAACTCGAGTGTTTTATAGAAATTTATTGAAATATAGTAATTTCATTTTTTTTTTTTTAGTTTTTCACAATTTTAAGTGTTTTTTTCCTCCCATTTCTTTTTACCCTTCTTTTTTTTGGTTTGAAAATGACTATTTAGATATTACAGATTTTTGTTTTCATTCTCGAAATCTTCATATTATAAGCTTGTGCTTATTTTGATCTGAATTGTTACAAAAAATGCATAAATAAATTTTTAATCGAGGGAGGAGGAACTTGTAGCTTAAAAGTTACTTTTTTCAATTAAATTCACATTTTACGCATGATTTCTCCTTGAATTTACTTAAACACGGCTGATGTTTGCAAACAGGTAGTGAATCTTCTTTTTTGTATAGTGTTTCCATACTAAAAAATGCTGAAGTATAAACTGATAAATCATCTCTTATTGTTGATTGTTCGATTTTTCTTTCCATTTTATATGAAGACAAATATATATATTAAATAATGAAACAAATATTGGCTTGAAATATTTTAGTTTATTGAATTAAACTATATTTTTTTTCTATTCGAAAGATGCATATAAAAGATGCTACAGTACAAAATTAAAATGCAGAAATGATATCATAAGAGATTATTTATCCAAAAAATACCATAATACCTGTTTTTTACAGATACAGATGGAGTTTGGAAATTGAAATTATGTATAAAATGCTTTTAGTTTATTTCGTAGTAATTATAAGTCATAAACAATTAAAAAGTACATCTTTTTCCAGAATGTATTCATAAATTATGTTCAATCAGCATTGCTGATTGTAATAAGTAGCTTTAAGCTATAAGTCAAGACTTTATTCCTTAATTTGACACGTTAACATGTGTTTTAAAGGCTGAAACCTAAAGAATTAAAATATAAAAATTAGTTTACGGTAATTAATTTCAAAACTTCTGTGTAAATCTGCATCTAAAAAGAATTTTTATAACGAAAATATATAACTTAAACTTTAATAACAATATATAATTTAAAATAAATAACGTTTATATAATTTTACTTTCTGCAACCAATTTAAAGTAGAAAAATGCTTCATGCATAACATTTCATAACCAAAAAAAAAATTGCTATCTAAATAAAAAATTTAGTTTGATATGCGAGTGACGCTTTGATTTCATACCTTGTTATTTCACGAAAAACACCATATATATCAATTTATTAGAATAAAAAAATAATAAGCTAATATCAAGGTAAAATTATAAATATTTAAAATAAAAAAATAGAAAAATGTCTTTAAGACATATTTTATGCATTTTTTTTATCAATGATTGAAAATAAAATTTTATAAATATATTTCCTGGGTATTTTATCTAAAAGAATTTAAAATGTCTCATTTTCATACAAAACTTTTCTTGTCATGCTCAAATTGACAAACATCCTTTTAAACTTCTAATTTTTAATTTATCATACAAAGATTGAAAATAATATTTTACGGAAATTTCAACTAACTTCTCTGTACATTTTTATATTTTTGAACACATTTTTTTCAGATGTATTTTTTTTTTCAAATACGGAATAATTGAAAAGAAACAATTTTCACGCATTGGCAAAGTTGAAATACCAAACTGTTCCCTCGAGGACTTTTTTCTTCTTTGGGACAAATTGTTAGTACTTAGTGACAAATTTAAACTTCATAAAATATTCATATACATAAGCATTTTTTTTGTAACAATCAAGAAAAAATTGTAAAGCACTAAATATCTTTAAGAATTAAAATTTTAAACTAATGCATACATTTTGTACACTTAATATAAAAGTTATTTAAAATCAAGTTTAAAGATTAACTGTGATCCACTTGTAAAAATTGGGTGTGGAACTTAATATTCGATATCTGATTACAAAATATCACAGAAATTGTCAGTTCTTCAAATATATTTAATGCTTACGTATGTTTCAAAAATTTAATCTGGAATTTTTTTATGCTAAGGACTTCTAGTTCAGATGGCACATGATTTTATTTGTGTACACGTTTTAAAGATCATAATCGCCTTCCTTTATTTGTTCAGGCTAACTAAAATATTAGAAAAATTCATTTAATTTTATTTAAGAGGGTAGAACTACACGATTTTAAGAAAAAAAATTAATAATTACTTTTAAATAACTTAATATTTTCCTGCATCATTAACTACTCTCTAAAAAAATTCCATCTCTAGATTACGGTCAATGGCGGCTAAAAGTGTTTCAATCACTGACCGTAAAAAAAAAAAATAATGAATGCTCTGAAAGCTGTGAAGACCATAAAAATACAGGTCCGCCGTTCTTTTCATGTAAAATATTTTGAAAAAGATCATAATTTAACCTTATAATCATAAAAAAACAACTTTAATTGGCTTGATGTTGTTTGACACTCTGAAATAGTTTGTCGAATTGAGACATACCATAAAACAAGGCAAAATAGCGCAGTGCTGCCCTCTGTCGGGAAGGAAGAGAGTTTAGTGTCTTTTATCCTCTATCACGAATGGAGAGAAAGTGCACTTTCCGCTTTTTACCAAATCCTGGGTTCAAAGGAACAGACTGTTAAGAATAGCTTTTGATCTACTGATTGGATCTTTATGTTCTAGGATTCACCGTTAATGGTTCGAAGGGGTGATCTCAAATATGCAAACTAATTTGTAAAGACGATATTTTAAGTTACGAAATCAGGCACAAGAACTTGCTTTCTCAGAATAAACATACCTATTTTTTGACGGATTTGAATTTCTGACCACTAAAATATAGAGGATATCCGCAATCTTGGAAATATATCCCCAATAGTTAGGTCAGAACAGCAGTCCAAAGCTTAGACTCCCTAATGCTAATTTTACTTTTTGCGTATTTTGTTATTTCCTTAGAACTTTCTAAGTAAATTGAACAATGTTTACATAAATTTACTTATCCAAATATAATTCCGTGGTTTGTCCAAATATAGTCGATAATAGTCGAAAAAAAGTTTAAAATGAAAGGCACAGCATTTTCACATATTTTTTTTAAGAATGTGATTTTATATGACAAAATACAAAATTAAAACAAAATTGCTCGAATAGTTCTTGAAAAAACCAATTTTAAGTCTCTGAACTCTTTGACGGATTTCGCTCTAATTTTATAGTCTGTACTACAAAATTGCTTTCTTTAAAATGATTTTTAAAAAAAATGTATAGAGTAAAATTCAAACTTTTATCGACTATTATCAAATAAAATAATAAATATTAGCTAAAAGTCAAATTTTGCATGGAATTATCTTAGAATAAACGAATTTTATAACTGTATTCAAAAATGTTTCGATTTGCTTGAAAAGTTTTGGAGTGCAATACACAAAAAAATAGTGAAATCTGTATTAAATGATATAATCTTTGGATCGTTCTCTAGACCAAACTACTGGGACCATATTCTCAGATTGCGGCTCGTTCCTACACTTTGGGGGTCAAATATCCGACTCAGTCGAAAAAATAAGTATGTTTATTCAAGAAAAGTAAGTTTTTATGTCTGATTTCGTAACTTAAAATATCGTCAGCACTAATTAATTAGCATATATGAGGTCACCGCCGCGAAGCATTACGATTGAATTTTAGAAAACAAAAAGTTACTCAACTTGGTCCGTTGATTGATTGATTTATTTAGCTTACTGTATTTACCCGAATATAGTTAGGAAGTATCATATAATAACCGTATAAATTAACAATCAACTCTATTACATTTACTGAAGTTTGTTGCTTAATGGTCTTTTTTCTTAAAGAAAATGTCTGAATTTCAAGAAAGTTTCTCAGAATTTAATTATCAGTTAAAACAAATGAGTATGTTGAAAAATAAAAGGTTGTTTCTAAAAAAGTGTAGTGTGCCTACCACTACAAAATTACAATTACAATTCACTAGTATATAAGACATGTTAACTCGATTCGATGTTGGTGTACCTTATCGTAGATGAAGGTTGACATTGCCGATTACTCCCTCTCCACATTGGTGACCTTCGGACGTGATGTGAGCATTCCTACCTTGACGGAAATTCCCACTTCGATTTGAAGACGCTTACTTTGATGGATAGTCCACACTGAACAGTTGACGTGCTACTTGTAACTGCGACGTTATTCACATCCTCGTGCTGTTGCTACTCAGTCTCGATCACACACAACGTACAACGTATTCACTCGACTGCTGAAGACAACAAAGGAGCGACCACGACCGTGAAATTAAAACAGTTCTCACGATCAACACTCAAAAGTAAGGTGATCTTAATACAGCTCTTCCGGCTTCTTACAAAACAGCAATGAATCAATAAGTGGTATTCGTTCGTCAAATTCTATCACAGCTATAGTTTTGGTAGGGGAGTACTGTAGTGTATAAACTACTACAAAATTACAATTCAAATTCATTAGTATAAAAAACATATTAATTCGATTCTATGTTGGGGTACCTTATTATAGATGAAGGTTGACATGGGCGATAAATATATCCCCCTAAAAGCAAGATATTTATGGCCCAGTAATGCCTTGCAGAGGATATAAGCAAAATTTTGTTTAATGAAAATACAATTAATTTTTATGCCTTTTTTCTCATTGCAGATAACATTCAACTTTCGTCTTTAACATTTAGAATCAGAAGTTCTTGTTAGTGAAGATGAGAAGAAATGGTAGAAGGACTCAGCAAAAGAAATTATGGATGTGTCAAGATTGGAGAAAAGTCAACACCTTCTTCAAATACTCTAAGAAAGTTCTTCGATACAAATCTCTCTTTTATCATTTCTTAGTTTTTTTCTTGGTCCTCTTTTTATTGATCTTGTCCTTCCTGAAGTCAAAAAAGTTCGTTGTTTTTGTGACATTTTTCTCATAGACTGACAATTGCCTTGAAGGAATTCAAAGTTTGTTTTTCAGTCAGATTTCGTGTCACCTTAGCACCTGTCTCCACACCCCAAGGATGTCTGTTTATACTCGAGGTAAAAATAAAACTCTAAACTGTAATTCCCGTATTGAAAGTATTAAATTAAATATCAACGAGAAAAAAATCCAATAACATGCGCTTGTTCTCCAAAACGTGTTAAAGTAGATTGCTCAAATAGGAAAGAAAATGCATGTACTGTAAAAAACAATTTTAGTTACCTGATTTGTGTTTCAAATTAAAATATTTCCGAATATTAAAGAACGAACTTGTAAATTAATAAGTTTTTATACTATGACTTTTTTGCAAATGTCTAGATGAAAGATTGATTTAATTGCAGTAAAAAAGATTCATTTCTTTATTATTCGATTTTGTGATAAATGCAAACATTTTTGTTTTAATGTCGTGATGTACAATATCATCCTTATTAGAAAAAAAATAAAATTTTGAAAAAAATATGAATTTGTACTTATTTAATTAAAATTTTTAAAAATGCAATTAAATGCATTGTTTAGTGTGATCAAAATAAATAAGTAAATTGTTTAATAAAAAAATGCATTTATTGTTTAAAACAAATTTTAGGAAACATATTGTGTATATTTTCATTTACTAATTTTTGATCCTTAAAAAATGATGAACTAAATAATTTTATCTTATGAGCAACTAGTTTTTAACTTACACCCAGTAGACTGTTTAAAGTACTCAAATAAATTTACAATTTATTATAAGTATGATGTGTGCATAAATTTTTTTTGTACCACGAAATCCAATTTCTTTCTTGGAGAAAAATCGTTCAAAAATATTTATAATTTGATTTTTTCTTGTTGCAATATTTTCGCGTATGTAATTAAATCTGTTGCTCAGAGCAATTATAATTGATGTTCGCTGTCACTCTAAATACTTGTATGGACTTATTTCCATTTAATTTGCATGGTTGTCTCAAAATTGCAAAAATAATTTTTAAAGTTGATAAATTGAACATATAAAACAGAAAATCCGGATAAAACGAAAATTCTATTTATCCTTATAAGCAAATCAAATGATAATATTCAGTATTGGTTATTATATGTTCATACACAACATCATGAGTTCAACAAAATTATATAATAAGTAGTCAAAAAATTGAATAACACTAAACTCCCCTGAAACATTTCATTTATGAATTCGGAAGTAATTTTGCAGTGCTTCTGAAAGCTTATCTGACTAGTCTATTTATTTAGTGACTTATATAAATTCATTAGCTCAAAACCTATGTTGTTAATAGTTTATTATCCAGAAACAAAAAATTTTTATTTTCACATATTTATTCTACATGTAAATATGGGAGTTTCTCAATATAAAGGGTTTTAAACGTTATATAATCTTCATACAATGCGCAAATGTGGATATGGATATGCAAATCCAACTTCCAAAACATCTTGAAACTTTTTTGTTTACTTTTCAATTTTACTTCTTCTTTGTAACTTCTTGGAGAAAAAATGGTCAAATAACAATTTTTTATCTCTTAATTTAACATATTAAAACAAAGCAGTTTAATACCCCAAAATAAGACGGTACTAGAACTTTTAACTGTGAAATACGGTTGAACAACCAGAATTTTATCGCGCCAATTAAACCCACCTAATGTATAGCACTTTAGTTCCTTGCAACTGGATACACATAATAGTCGAGATGACTAATCTCATGAAAACTGTGAATCAAATGAGGGTTCGATTCCCAGCGTTGTCACAACAATATTTTCTCTATTCTCTTCAACATATGAAGAGTTTCCAGTGTTCTGCGTTCCCAAATTTGTCACCCTAGACTATTGGAATACGATACTTTAATTCACATTAGATGGCAGCACCGTAAAGCTGCTAAGCACAAAAAAATCTAGTATTTCCCGTTCTCTTACGATAGGTGAGACAACCTGATAACTTTATTAAGACACATCCCTAGCTTAGTCCATTTGATTAAATACAACTCAACCACAACGCAGTTCTATTGTCTATTACCTAATGAAACGCTTTACTGGAATGTCCAGTTAAATTTTCTTTCTACGGTTTTGAAACAATGTTAGTTGTAAATGGTAAAAACCCGTATAGCATTGTATTCATGGTATTTTAACCATACTGGTTGTAAAAGATTTCAAAACCGTAAAGATAAAAAATGTTCTGTACCGTAAATTTTAGATGGAAATAGATGAACAGATTGCAACCAATTATTTTACCGTAACTTTAGAAGGAAAATTCTACCAATGTTTAGTAAATTCATTCGTTCAAAACATATGTAGTTAGGACATTATTATTTATAACTAATTCATTTTTTCGCGACTTTATTTTGAATTCAGTATGTAAACTTTTCAAGATAAAAAATATTAAGATTAAAGTACATTTGTAATGCAGCATTTTCTTCAGTCTTTTATGTTTTATCTTTAAATAAATGTTGCAATTCAATCTTTTCTTTTAAAAAGATGCATTAAAGTTATATTCAACAAGAGTGAGCAAGGATTATAATTTCAAATGGACGAAATATAACATAATATGTAACGATATCCAAAAAAGTGCTTTTTTTTTTTTTTTTTTTTTTTTGTGACAATCATTACTGCCAAATTTTGAACAATTTAGTTCTTCATTAACAACAACCTAACATTTAACAATTTGAATGCATATACAACCAACTATATTAATAAAACTAGCATATTTTTCTCCTATTAATCTTATTGTTTGAGTTATTAAAATAAGTGAACCTAATGGCTTTCGAAAATAGTTAGTCATTCTATCAAATTTGTATTTGAAGCGTTAAGAAAATAAGGCTGTATTAAATAAAATAATATAGTTAAACATAAAAAACATCAAATATGCAGTCTATTCTGATTTCTACAATACTATTTTTAAACTTAGGAAATTTTAATAATGTTAAATGATTATTTCAGATAAAAATAGATACTGTTATTCAATTATATTTCAGATTCTACAGAAAAATTCTTAATTGTACATTTTGAGGCAGTAATAAAATTACTTGATTCAAAAATTGTAATATAATTCTTGAATTCTTGAATTGCATAATAGTTGATGTAATTTAAAGTTTAATGATTTATAATTAATTAAAAACACTTCTCATTTATTAAGTATTAATTATTGAAAGTTATTAATTTGTTGTTAAAATTTAAATTTCACTTTTATTACGATTGAAAATGTCTACCCTTATAATAAATCTCAAATCTCAATAACTAGACAATAGTATGGGTCAAATAATAATTACACAAGTAATATTTCCAATTATTAGACAAATTTATAACTATCATAGTATTATAGTTGCGTATTTAGAAGTCCCTGATTATAAAAAAACAACTAAACTGTTGGCTTTGCATTTAAGAAATAATGCTGATTACTCCCAAATGTTCAGCAATTAGATAAATAAAAATATTTGTTAAGAAAAGTGCACAGTATAAAATCCTACTTACATTTATATTTTATGCAAATTAAATATTATTCAATGAAATTGCTCTAAAATGATAACATATATAAATTAATTAAAGAAATAAGCCACAAATATTAGATTTATCTGCCTAAAACCAACAATTTTATATTGCTTTATATTTAAAGCAGCGCTTATTAATTAAACTAACATTACAGATGCAATAATCAGATAAAAATATACATTGTTACGAACTAATTGTAAAATTATGTTTTTAAAGTAGAATTAATAATTAATTTTTTACAGAATTGTTGACGAAGGAAAAATAAATAATTACATAATGATAATAGCAAGAAATAAAAAAAGTAAAAAATAGATATGCAGTTTTTAATACCCTCACATAAGAATAGAATCTTTGATATTATTAATAAATGAACTCACACTTTCATACATTTAAGGAAACTTGCATTCATTAGGATAAACAAAAAAGAAACATTAGTAGTACTTATTTGTTTATTCTAATGTGATTTATTTTAATCTAGGTTGATGAATAATTGGAGAGATAAAAACTAGAGATCTTTAAATAGTACACTAAGAAATTAACACAAGAATGTATGTCAGGAAATAACTAACGAAATTAAGCACGACATCTGAGAATTAAAATGGTAATTATGATTCTTAAATAGAGAATAGTGTCTGCGAAACGCAATTTTTTTTCTTTTTTTAGATATTCGGAATGTCATGTTTAAACAAGATTTAGTGACTATGTTTTAATTTTAATGAACTTCACCAATGAGGAAAAAAAGTGTATTTCTTTTTATTTCAGAATGTTTTTGTATTATTTAAATTTTTAATTCATTTAAAAATTTCAGTTTGATTAACGCTTTTATCCTGGTATAATAGAGGTTTTAATTAAGTATTTTTGGAATATAAATGTTTTAATTGAAAGTAACTCCTTTGTGAATTTTCTAAAGCTGAAATAGTAATAAAAGATAAAGATTTTTATTGATTTAGATTCATTAAATTTATTTAATTTTATTCCTGATCATAAAGGGCTGATCACAATTCCCTCAGGCTGTGATTAAAAAAACTAAGATGGATGAAGCAAATACAGCACTGTTAAAAAACTTATTGTATTACAAAAAATTTCAGGCACCGAGGTTGCCAAATATTATCCTTATGCTACGGAAAAAAATACGCCAGAAATTCCCTGTAACAAAATACTACAGTAAATATTTGTACTCACTAGATATTTTCCGTATATCGAGGTTTGGCAGAAAAATTTGGCATGAAGGTAGCAACTGCATAAACACTTAAATAAATAATACCAAGAAATTGAAGTGGTTAGAAATTACCTGATTAAAAAATTCGATTCAAAAATATATAAATAGCAAATAATATAATAGCCGACATGATTCAGGTGCATCAAAAGTAGGCACCCATTTTCAAGACTTACCAGACGTGAGTGAGAGGAAGCAAAAGTGATTTAAAATGCAAAATGCAAAGTTGTCAGAGAAAAATGGAAAAATAACGCTGAGAAACAGAATAAGAAAAAACACAGTGGCTGAGAGGGGTAAATCAGGGTAAGATGCATTTCCACGTGCCATGAAGAGGTGGTAAGGGACAGAGGTCGTTAACAAGAGAATCAGCATTCGTATGAACAAAACAAAATTCCAGTGCATGGGATGGAAATAATTTAGGCATTGCTGAAATTGAAATTATGCCCTAGATTTCAGCAATGTGCAGCAATTGATGATTTCTCGAATATATTATTCGCTTAAAAAATGTCAACTGTAATTTGCTACTTATATATATTTGAAGCACATGTATATCCTCTTGATTGCATATTGAATTAGATTTGTTAAATTTCAATTAGTTTTTTAATTACTCTGCAGTTTGTGAATTTTTTTTGGGGATTTTTGAAGTTTAGAAAACCATCACGTTTAAAATTATCATGGTAGTATTTTTACCTTTTTTTCTATCGATAAGTTAAGACGTTTCAATATGGACGTTAAGACGTTCCAATAACCTAGAAACTTCTTAGATTGAAGCCAACTCT